TGGGGAAAGTGTTGGACTCTGACTTAAGAAGACCTGAGTTCAAATCTTATTTAGACATATCCTAGCTCTGGGAGCCTGTGCAAGTGTCTTCACCTCTCTTTGCCTCAGTTTTCTTATGTGTTAAAACAAGGCGATTGGATCTGATGACCTCCAAGATACTTTCCAGCTTAAATCTGCAAACCTGTGAGAGCTTCATTTCTGGGAAGTACTAGCATCCTGTGTAGGGAGACAGAGGTTCAGGGACACTGATATGAAGCTCATGTTAGGAAAGGTATTGCGTGAGGTGGGGGAAAGAAGACATAGAGCCAAAAGAGGAGGGAGAAGAACTTAGCCCATCTGGCTGCTTCCTATATTAACTAATTATTCTTGATCACAGAGTGATCACTCTGTTTTATGTACATTATTTACAGAGTGTAACAAGTACCACCGATACTTTCTAAATTCTGTACATTGGGGCAAAGCCTCACTTACTTCACCCTAGTTACAACTCTACTGTTGCCTCTATCCATCATGTTGTAAATAAATCAGTTCTTTCTGCATGCTGGTTTCTGCCCTCCTATTGGACCTGCCAGTGTTGATGGACCAGTTTGTGGCAGGCTTGACTGAGTGCACTGAGGACTGAATAAGCATAGCTTCTTCCTTCCTTGAAAGTGGTCAAAGGTTTTATTGTATATCTAGCCCCATAAACTCAGGTCCACAGCTGTACTCAGCCAGCTAGCAAAATATTTTAGTCAAATCTATTTTTCAATTATTTTGTTCCATCTCCAAAAGTTCTCCCTCAATTTTGCCTGCTATTTGAACTGGTGTTAGAAAGCATCTTTTAAATCCCATTGTTATATATCTTATCTTTGCTACTATCCAGCAAGTTTCTCTGTTAAGCCTGTGCAGTTATTTTGATAAGTAACTGTACCCAAACTGAGAAATGGATTTGGTTTCAGCCATGGAAGTCTAATAACTTCATAAATTGTTCTTAAAATTGAAAACAGAGGCCATTTTATAAAGTCAGATAAATATGGCATTGTGTTTTTGCCTTGAGAATTACCCTGGGACTTCATTTAGTAAGCCTGTAGGCGCAGACTCAGGCTGACAATATTTGTCCTGCATTTCAAGTAGTTCAAAAAAGCTTGCTCTTTCTATACTAGAAATTAAATTTAGATTTTAAGGATCATTTTTGTAAGAGAGAAAGGAAGAGAGGAAGAAAGAAAGAATGAAAGAAAGAAAGAAAGAAAGAAGGAAGGAAGAAGGAAGGAAGGAAGGAAGGAAGGAAGGAAGGAAGGAAGGAAGAAGGAAGGAAGGAAGGAGGAAGAAATGAAGAAAGAAAAAGAGAAAAAAGGAAAGAAGGAAAGAAAGAAGAGAGAAACAGAGAGAGACAGAGACACACACACACACACACACACAGAGAGAGAGAGAGAGAGAGAGAGAGAGAGAGAGAGAGAGAGAGAGAGAGAGAGAGAGACTACTCATGAATGGAATTGGCTGCCTTAAGATGGAATGAGTTTCCTATTATAATGTCCATGGATAAATAGCTTTAGGAAATAGACCTGGGAAAATCAGTGGTTCTGTCCAGAAAATTCTCATGGGTGATTGTGAGCTGCTAGATACTGCCTCCTAGCTACCTACATACATCCAATGATTCCCACTGGGGTCAGAGCCAGGCAGTACCACTGTATGGTATGGTTACTTAGCCCTGAAGTTCAAGATCACAGATCACCAGTGCTGCAGATGTTAGTGTTATGGAGTGGGGATCTTTGAAATCCTCTAAAGTTCAGCCTGGTCCAATAGGAGTAGCCAAATTCCCAAATTCAATCACAAGTGGTAGAAACAACCTATAAGCTATAGACTGCATCAAATGGGAGAGGACCTTATAATTAAAGGGACAGGAGATTGTTAGAAGACCAACCCTAGTCCTGCTACAAATTGTATTTGTGATTTTGGAGAAATTGCTTCTCTCCCTTGGATTTTTTCTTCCTCGGCAGTAAAATCACATGATTCAACCATATGATCTTTAGGATTCCTTGCAGTCTGAACATTCTATATTTCTATAATTGTAAATCTTTTATGAAGTTATTTTTTAAAAATCTACTATAACCATTTCCAGGCACCAGGAAAAGTCCAATGCCATATTTTTCCAACTTTATCAAGAGCCTATATGTTCAATTTTAAAAGCCAATTGTAAAGCCATTAGACTTTCATAGGTGAAACTAAACCTATTTCTCAGAGTTGGTTGAATTATTTATCAAAATACATAGACAGAGTTAACTCAAAGCTCTTTTCATAGACCAGGCATCTATCATGAGTTATGTTCCCTCAAGGGTGGGTCCAAAAGGAATTGTTCTGAGTTTAATGTTCAACATTATAAGCCAATGACAACATATGTAGACAGTCAAACCAGAAATCTTCAAACTAAGCAGATCTTTTAAATAAAACATATGATGAAAATTATTTCTAAAATGGTTATATTACCAATGTCAGATGCATATCAAGTGATCAGAGAGGAGCAGCTAATTTGATTTAGCAAATGCAATAGCCATTATGACATTCATAGGTTCAGAGAATAATGGAATCTTAGTGTTGGAAGGGACCTCAGTGGTCATCTTATCTAGCCTTCTAACTCATGAAGCAATCCCCTTGACAATGCCCACCACACTTGGAAAACCAGGCTCTGACCAGACATTTTCAGCAATGGAAAACTGATTGTTTCAGAAGGCATGCGATTCTGATCATGGATAGTTTTAACTGCTAATTTATAGCTGGTATTTACATGGAGCTATAAATTGCTTTACATATACTACCTAGTTTGAACCTCAAAATAACCTTGTGAAATAGAAGCTATTATTGTGTCTCCCTTCCCCCAAACTCCCTCCCCCCCATTTTATAAATGAGGAAACTGAGACTAAGAGACATTACGTGACTTGTCCAAGGTCACATAGTGAGTGTCAGGGGTAGTATTTGAATTAGATTCTTCCTGACTCCTAATCCAGTAAATTACCATAGGGCTTTATTTATCATAATGATAGAGACAGCCAGGAATAGGTGACCTTATCCTGCATTTCTACCAATTTAAAAAAAAATGCTATTCTTCCTACATGAGGAATCAAATTTGTAATTTAAGGATTTTTTTTTTAACGATAAGAGCTATCGATAAGTGGAATTGCTTGTTGTATGAGGGAATGAGTTTCCCCCTGGGCAAGTCACTTAAAAAAACAAAACAAAACAAAAAAATTCTGCCTCAGTTTCCCAAGCTGTAAACTTTGGATAATAATAGCACCTACTTCCCAGGGTTGTTGTGAAGATCAAATGAGATAATATTCGTAAAGCATTTAACATAGAGCCTGGCACATAATGGTGGTTGTTTACTTTGTTCTCAAAGAGGATAAAAATGACATCACTATGTTGGGGTCAAGGTACAGTGTGTCCCACTGTGGCTGATCAGACCAATATGAGCTCGGAAGGCTTTACCACAGGTTAGGCAGAAAGAGGTGCTCAATAAATGTTTGTTTCACTTCCCTTCCTCATGGAGTCCAGTTCTATCTGCTACTCCAGATTGGAAAGTTATTCTGTAAAAGAAGCCTAAATCTAATCTTCCTAAAGGGGGGGAAGAAGTGTAGTAAAACAGTGCTTGTAGTAATATAGAACAAAAACATGCTAGTTAGAGGGCCCAGTGAGACTTTGGAAGCCTACATTGTGCCACATGCGATCACCTACAAAATTAGGCATAAGCTGGGTTTATAGATTACTTACAAATTCATGACTGGAGAGCATGTGTAACCCTAGTCCCAAAGCCCAGTGGTATGGGACTGTTTCCTCATTACTAGAGATGATGGCCTGCCAGCTACATGAGGTGTGGGGTGGAGTTGTCAAAAGTGAGAGAGTTTGACCTCTTCAGTCTTGTTCAACTTTTCTTTGAGCTGTTGAGTGTTTTCAGACTTAGGGCACTTTTGGCTTCTTGATTCAAGTGAGAAGATGGAAAATGCTAACTACTTCACTTTGCTGAAGAGAAAACATGACTCTGTGAAGAAGCCAGCGTGAGAGGAGCTGCAGTCTTCACCATGTCCCTAACCCCAGCTGTCTACACTAGAGACTTTGGGGAATTTCCTCTGGGACTTTTTCTCTTGGTTGAGCTAAATTATCTCACTCTCAATGGAAGAGGTCCTTTGCTCTGTATTACTTGGTATATATTCCCTCATGCATAATTATCTCTGTTTCTGTTTTGCTATTAACTTGAATTTCTTGGGTTTCTTTGCTACTTAATATATATGCTTATTGTGGAACTGGTATCATTTCCCACCAGGCCCTATCTTCCAACAAGCCAGGCCAGAGCTTGGGTTCATTCTCCTTCCAGTGAGTAGTTCTCTTCTCTTCTGAGAATCACTACAGTCAACAACTCCTGCGCTGACAGAGGATCCAACATCTACCAACTTTTGAAGTGATGAGGCCCGTGTTGTTGTTATTCAGTTGTCTCAGTTGGGTCCAACTCCTTGTGACCCATCGGGGGTTTTCTTGGCAAAGACACTGGACTGGTTTGCCATGTCCTTCTCCAGCTCATTTTATAGATGAGGAAAGTGAGGCAAACAGGGTGAAGTGACTTGTCCAGGGTCCCACAGCTAGTGTCTGAAGATGGATTTAAACTCAAGTCTTACTGACTCCAGGCCAGGCACTCTATCCAGTGTACCACCTAACCGCCCAAACTTGGACACATCCATTTTATGTTAGCTGTTCAGATCACTCTTTTCTTTCCAGGCAAATACACCCAAAACAGAACAAGGCAGCCAGAGCTTTGAGATCCATTCTTTGGCTTGTCTAAGCAGCATCTGTGCTGTTTGTTCACAGCTGTCATGCAGCTGGGGTGGGGAAGGAGCAAGCAGCCTATCTCCATTTGTCATGGGAAGTCCATGGAGAGAGATCTAAGGGACACATGTTTCAGAGACAGGAAGGAAGAGACCAAGCTGGAAGGGATCTCTCCTTTTTAAACTAATGAATGCCCTCTCTCTCCATCACAGAGCTAAGAGGTTTGCTTGGTTATGCCATGGTCCCCAAGTTCTTCAAGTAAGAGATGAGCCAATAAGGTGAACCAGATGTAGGTGGAACACTTCTAAGCAATCTTCACGGCGTATAACCCGTATTACCTAGGTATGTGTTTGTGTTTGTGAAAGAGGAGAGAGACAGAGAGAGACAGAGACAGAGAGACAGCAACAGACAGAGACAGAGACAGACAGAGACAGAGACAGAGAGACAGTAACAGAGAGAGAGAAAAAGAGACAGAGAGAAAGAAGAAACAGTGACAAAAAGAGAAAGAGAGAGAGAAAGAAAGAGACAACATACAAAGACAGACAGAAAAAACAGAGAAAGAAGAGAGAGTGACAAAGTGAAAGAGAGAGGGGGAAGAGAGAGAGAGAGAGAGAGAGAGAGAGAGAGAGAGAGAGAGAGAGAGAGAGAGAGAGAGAGGCAAGACAGAGACACAGAGACAGAAAGCCAGAAGAAACAGTGACAGAGTGAGAAGATGCAGAGACACAGAAAGATAGAAAGAGAATAACCTAAGAGAAAGACAGAAGAAGAGAAAGACAGAAAAGAAAAAGAAAAAGAAAGAGAAGAGGCAGAAAGAGAAAAGCAGAAGAAACAGTGACAAAAAGAAGCAGAGAGAGGGAGAAAGAGAGAGAGACAGAGAGAGAAGAAACAGAGACAGAAAAACAGAAGAAATTAATAGTGACAAAAAAGAGAGACAGAGAAAGAGATGAGACAGAGACACAGAAAGGGAGACAGAGAAAGAGGGAAGAGACAGTGTCAAAGTGAGAGAGCCAGAAACAGAGAACAGAGAGAAGAGAGAGAGAGAGAGAGAGAGAGAGAGAGAGAGAGAGAGAGAGAGAGAGAGAGAGAGAGAGAGGCACAGAGACAGAAAGACAGAAGAAACAATGAGAAGAGATAGAGAAAGAGAGACAGAGACAAAGAAAGAAAAAGAGAGATAAGAGACACAGAGACACACACAAAAAAAGACAGAGAAAGATTGTAAAGAGTTTTCCTGATAAGATCACGTTAAATCAATTTCTAAGTATTCCTCATCTCTAAAATGAAGAGTTTAGACTAGCTCTCCTCTGACAATGCTTCCAGCTTGAAATCTATGATCCTCTGAGCGTTAGTAGTTCTGTTACTAGTTTTTTCTTACAAGTTCTGGTCATATGTCATTGTAAGGTTGAAACCCTGATGTTCTGCTTTCTTTTCCTCTTGGTTGTCTTTCCCTGCCACGTAAATGCTACTAATGTATGCAGTCTGCCGGCCAGATGTTTGATGTGGCCATGAGTGAATCCTGCTGCAGACTCGGCCATCACGACAATATGCAGCATTACTGGACTGCAGAAGTGACTTCCTTTGTAATCACAGGGCAAGCTTTGTCAGACACCTTAAATCCCCAACGGAAAAGAGACAGAAAGTTATTTGGTCAATTGCATATTTGTTTTTGGATTAAATTATCCTAAAAGTAGTCTCTTGGCATTTTAGTCCTGTGTGTGTTATACATTAATGAATGAATAAAAAAGCATTCATTAGGCACTTACTGGATGTCAAGCACTATGATAAGTGAAGGAGGTTCAAGTGTTCAAGGAGGAACCTATGCTTATCTATATTTGTAAAGAGGGGGGCTTCGGGGTGAGGAGAAAAAAAAAGGGAAAAAAGAAATTTCCAAAACTTTATTATATATTTAAAAGGATTAGCAAATTGTACATAATAGATTTGCAGTTTCATGTACAATCATCTTTTTATTGTACTCTATTATTGAAATGCTTGTTTTATTCCATAAATTAAAAATAAAGTTAAAAAAAATTTGGTTGAAGTAGAGAAGTCTTGTTAACTATTGAGGAGGGACTTTGATACTGCTGGGTAAATGCAAGTTGCCTTCATAACACAAATAAAGATGGCATGAGAAACCACATAATATGAATTTAGGGAGTAAAATATTATACAAAGCCGTACAGTATGCAATATAAGAGAGCACTGTCTAAGCCTACTTACGAGCAATGAAAAATAAGAGACTTGTCATATCGAATATTTTTTCATCCTTCTTTGGCAGACAGTAGCATCTCTTACACTCTGCTCTATTTTCTGTGTTCCCACATCTGAGAAACGGCTATATGCATTTCACCTTTGTCCTTGGCTCTCTAGGCTGCAAGCTGTCATCTTTACTAATAGTTTATTTGAAAGTGTTTTATAAAGCTACCCTGAATCTTCATCTTCTCCTCTCACTTTTATGTCTATTTATTCTTCCCTCAATCTCAGCTGTCTGTCAGAGATTTGGGCTATTCTAGCTGTCCTATCTAAAGCCCAAGGAATGATGAAAAATTGGGGATGATATTGAATAGGGAAATTAAAGACAAAATGTAGTCTTCTTTTTAAACGGATATTAAAGAATATCTCAAGCTGGAAACCACAGATGAATATTTCATAGTCACAGGAAAAATTAAAGTCAGATCTTCTCTTGGGCAATGGATTCCTAGTCAGGGCCAAAAGTCTGTTCACCAAAGCCAAATGGAAAAGTCAAACTGGAAAAAAAATCTTGCAAACAAGAAAATGAATTAACTTATTCAACCCAGAATGAGTGATTTAACTACATTAGACAATGTAAAAAGAATTCGGCCAAGAATACACTAGACATTAATTACAGCAGGGCCAAGGAGCAACCGAATTAGAAAATTTTGGACTGAAATACATGAGCTTTTGCTATCCACGTGTACACATTAGCCACCCAAATTTAGGAGGCAGAAAACACTCTGAACTTTTGATATTGCATATCTGTCCTGTACTATTATTTCCTGTTTTATGATTAAAACAATCTGGGAATTCAAACACCTTCCCTCAGGAAAGATTTCCACAAGACAATGACATCTAAGATGGGAAGTTGGTCTGAACTCAATGTGTCATTATTGAAAGCTCAATGGGAAGATCTATCCAATAATGTGCCATAATGAGCATTATTTAGACTTGGCTATTGAATACTTCTACTCATGCTATGAAATGTCAAAATTAAGTAACTGATTTTGTAAATGACAACAAAGGTTAATTTCAGTAGGGATGGATGTGGGAGCAAATACTCAGGGGCAAAACATAAATTATAATGGCACAATGTGGGGAAAAAAAAGACAGGGAAGAAAATGACCAGGGAGGCATAGCAGACCATAAGCTGACTACGACACAGCTGTAATAGAGAAGAGATTTAATATCAAATCACCTTTCTAAAATTAGCTAATTGGTAAGTTCAAGTAATCTAGAACATAGACAAACTAGGAAATGTAAAAGTGGGGTATTCCAAAGTTTTAGTACAGTTTTAAGCTACTTAAGCTTTGAGGGCACTCTGTATAAATCTTCTCATAATACAAAATAGATGTCACAAAAACCCAGGCATTAAAGGCCCATAAGCTTAACTAGTAGGAGGCAGTAAGTCTCTCACACTGCATCTACTTGCCTTTTGCTCACATACAATTCTAATAAAACTAATAATGCATTTGCTAAGGCCACAGGAATTTGGAAGCAGCAAATTTGGCCACCATTATGGCCAATGCAAAATGGCGGCAGGGCCAATTGATATGACTGAGGAAGGAGACATGCCAATTGAAAAGCATCAGCAGCCACTGGCTAGCCACTAAGTCATGTGGTTAAGGTATAGTCTCAGAATCTCTGCTATCTCAAGCATGGCCTGGTTGATAATGAATTGCTGATCATCTATTCCGGTAAGTACAAATGATATAATGAGCTTTATATTGTTAAGTCGTTTTTCCAACTGTATCTGACTCTCCATGACCTAATTTGGGAAGTGATACTGGAGTGGTTTTCTATTTCCTTTTCCAGCTCATTTTACAGATGAGGAAACTGAGGCAAACAGAGTAAAGAGACTTGCCCAGGGTCACACAGCTAGTAAGTGTCTGAGGTTGGATTTGAACTCGTGAAGATGACTCTTTCTGGTTCCAGGCCCAGTCGTTAGTAAATCCACTTTCATGGCACAGAGAGACAAATGGGACTTCACAACTTTATGGAGAATGATGATGAAGAGGGAGGCATTATAGGGAAAGCTTGGTCTGAAGTCATAGAAAGTGAGTTCATATTCTAGCTTTGGCACTTACCACCTGAGTGACCATGGGTAAGTCACTCTGCTCAGGGACTCATTTTCTTGATCTGTAAAATGAAGGCATTAGACTAGGTGGACTTTAAGGCCTTTCCTGCCATGAGAACTGTAGTCTGAACCATTAGGGTCACCTGGGATCAAACCACACCTCTCAGTTCTGGGCCTTTTCACTGGCTGTCCATTATATCTGGAATGCTCTCCCTTCTCACTGCCTGGAATCCTTCAAGTCTTAGCTCAAATCCTACCTTGGGCAAGGGGGTTTTCCGCATCACCCTTCATACTTCCCTCTGAAATTGCCTTCATTCACTTGTGTATATATCCCATGTGTATATAGTTGTTTACATGTTGTATCTTTTAATAGAAGGTAAGCTCCTAGAGGGCAGGGCTGTTTCTTTGGATCCCCAGTGCTTAGCATACTTCCTGGTATACAGTAAGCACTTAATAAGTGCTTGTTGACTTGAGATAGCACTAGACAGTGATGAAAAAGAAGCCATCCACCTAGAGAAGGAGACAAACTTATAAAAACTACTTTTCAAGGCCATTCAAATTTCAATGCCTATATTGGAAAGGAGAGCAAACAAAGAGATAATAGATGTAGCAACATCATCCATTGCAAGGAAACATTCTGTAGGTTTATAACTTTTACTTTTGTCTACCCAGATAATCAAGAACTCAAAGAGGTCTTAGACCAAGTCCAATCCTCTCATTTAAAAGATGAGGAAAACAAGGCCAAGAGAGTGAAATGACTTGCCCAGGTAGTCAGTAGCACACTCAGGCTGTGAATCCAAGGTTTTCTAACTTTAAACTCAATGCTCTTTCCACTATCCCATCTCCCACCAAAATCTCTCTGTTCCCCACCCCAACACATTCAAATACAGTGAAACAAAAGATTAAAACAGCTAAAGACATACAAACTTGGATTACTAACAATATATATTTTTTTAAATTAATAGTCTAGGGCTATTTAGAATAGTGGGCAGCTATGTGGCACAGTGGATAGAGCACGTGGCCTGGAATCAGGAAAACTCATTTTCCTGAGTTCAAATCTGGCCTCAGATACTTACGAGCTGAGTGATGGCAAACCACTCGTTTCTTTGCCAAGAAAACCCAACATGGGGTCATGAAGAGTCTGAAATGACTGAATATTATTTAGACTAGAAGGTAAAATAATATCTCAATAGGCCTGTGAAGCCTCAATTACTGTATTGCGCCGTAATTCAAAGATGTTCACGATGATGAATTTGCATTCTCAAGACAAGGTCACACTAAATTTAGTCTATTCTGTTTGAAGACTTATACAATCTATTTTTCTTTTTTTAATTGAAAAATGTTTTTCTACTTAATAGCATTTTATTTTTTCCAATTACATGTAAAGACAGTTTCCAACATTCATTTTTATGAGAATTTGAGTTCCAAATTTTTCTCCTTTCCTCCCTTCCTTCCCCATTCCCCAAGATAGCAAGCAATACGCTAGATTATACATGTATAATCGCATAAAACATATTTCCACATTCGTCATGTTGTAGAAAAAAAAAAGAATCGGAACAAAAAGGAAAAACCACAAGAAAACAAAACAAAACAAAACAAAACAAAATAAAACAAGTGAAAGTAGTATACTTTGATCTGCATTCAGACTCCATAGTGCTTTCTCTGGTTATGGATAGTATTTTTTATTATGAGTCTTGTATCATTGTATTGCTGAGAAGAGCCAAGTCTATCGTAGTTGATCATCACACAATGTTGCTGTTACTCGGTACAATGTTCTCCTGGTTCTGCTCACTTCACTCAGCATCAATTCATGTAAATCTTTCCAAGTTATTTTTTCTGAAATCTGCCTGCTCATCATTTTTTTTATACCACACCACAACTTGTTCAGTCATTTCCCAACTGCTGGGCATCCCCTCAATTTCCAATTCTTTGCCACCACAAAAAGAGCTGATATAAATATTTTTGTACCTATGGGTCCTTTTCCCTTTTTTATGATTTCTTTGGGATACAGACCTAGTAATGTTGGATCAGTGGGCATGCACAGTTTGGTTGCTCTTTGGGCATAGCTGCAAACTGTTTTCTAGAATGGTTGGATCAGTTCACAACTCCACCAACAATGCATTAGTGTTCCAATTTTTCCCATCTTCTCCAACATTTGTCATTCTCCTGTTTTAGCATATTAGCCTATCTGATAGGTGTGAGGTGGTACCTCAGAGTTGTTTTAATTTGCATTTCTCTAATCAAGAATGATTTAGACTTTTCATATGACTATAGACAGCTTTAATTTCTTCATCTGAAAATGTTG